AAGCCTCCGTCCCTCTTGGAGAGCCTGGCAAGGTACCGAGAGTATCCCGCCCTCACGGTGGAGCCTGGCAAGCTACCCGTGGTGCATCTGATATGCCAAAAACAGTAACTATAATGGGCTTAATTTCCCCGACCCTGAAAGAGCCTCCAATACATTGGAAAGGATGAATAAGGAGAGGCTGCTAAAATCTCAGGACTGGGACAAATGAAGATGTTACTGGCGCCTGCTTGAGCACATTGATGAACAACAGGATGACAGTGATGATAAAATATATTGATAAAGAAAATAAAGATTTGGAAAATGAGATATTCTCATTAAAGCATTACATTTGAAACCATTGATTTGTGTCTAAAATTAACTGAAATAAATAGATTCAGGGAGCAGCTGAACAGTGAACATATCACCATGCTGTGGGGGTCACACACCAACCCCGAGGGGGCAGATGTTCCTCTGAACAGCTTCATGAAGCTTTTCACTTGCATCCTTCATCATCATTGTAATAGTAAACAGAACGCTGTTCTGAGTTATTGGAGTTGTTCTAAAAAATTACCATACTCAATGGGGACTCCAATACTGTAGCCACAATGAACAGAAGTTCTGGCAACACAAAGACTTGATTATTGCCACCATGTCTCAAGTCAGCTCAATGCTTTTAGGACAGAGTTTGTGGGATCTGACACTCACTCCAAGTAGCACCAGACTGAGAAATCCCTTTTTAAAGAAGTCCTACATGTAAAGCTGGTGTGTAATTATGCAGGGACCCTACTGAAAGTGGTTCTACATTCTGCTGAAAGTGGGACAGGAAAATCAATAATAGCAACAGAGTCCTTCCATACACATAGACTCTCACTCCCCAGACATGCCCAGTCTCAAAGAGATGGTGGGGATTCTGTGTGCACAAAAGATCAGTACTCCCTACTCTATGCTGTCTTCCTACTGTGCTATGTAAACTGCACAAGACGTGTGATGTCATCAGAGCACTCAGCCTGGGCTTTTTCCCCTTTGGGAGAAGCTGTATTCTCTCTCTCTCTATCTCTCTCTCTTCCTCCCTCTTTCTCTCTGCTTCTTTCAATAAAAATTATTTTGCTTCAAAAAATCAGCACTGGGAGATCCTAAGTTCAGACCTTTCTCTTTTATACCTATCAATCCTCTGCCAAGCACGTTCTCCCTTAAGGCTCTAAATATCACTTCTGGGCCAGAAATATAGTACAGAGACCTTACAGGCGGTTGACTCAGGTTTGATTTCCAAAAGTGCATTTGGTCCCCTGAGCACCACCAGGAGTGATTCCTCAAACACAAAATAAATATAACTTATAAACCATCATTCCCCAAACCTATTTCTCCAGTTTGCACTTTTCTCCAGAATGCCAGACTCTTTTATCCAACTCCCAAACCAACTGTTTCACTCATACGTCTAGTAGACATCTTAGTTCCAGTACCATCTGATGCCTATGCTGCTCCTCCTCAAGCGTTCTTCTTCCAGCTTGCCCCAATTTCTGCAGACAAAACTCCACCTTTCTACTAGCCTGGTCCTCCTGAACTCCCATCTCTTACCCCAGATTTAACCCATAGGAAATCCTGCAAGTATGCAAGTATCAAGTATCTCATTGCCTCCACACTCCATCACTCCCAGCAGCAGAAGCCAAGGACACTCATACCTGGAACATACACTGATTTCCTTCCACTTCTGCCTTCCTTACCCTCTGGCCCACTCAACACAGCATCCAGTGGTTTCTTCAGGGAAGTCATTCTGATGCAGGCAGGCAGGTAGGTTAAGGAAGCCTTCCTCCCTCCTCTTAGTTCCCCCCCCCAACACACACACACACACACACCATGGCAATGAAATTTCTGGGAAGTAATGAAGTCACCAGTCCTATCTGACTCACATTGTGGATACAGAAAACAAGACCTGATTACACCTTCTCCAGCAGACCCTCCTTACAGAAAGGGCTTGGAGGAAATTACTGGAGAACCCTAAAATTCCTTCCTTTAATCTGATTAACCCTGCTAGCCCAGACAGAGATGGTTGGACCTACCTCTCAGAGAAGATCCAGAAGGAACAAAGGTCAAGAAAAGAAGTTTCAAAGAAGACTACTCCTTACTCTACCCCTTTGGAAACACCAAAAGTGGACTCTTATCTAGCTAGAAAGCCCCTGGGGGCAGATTGGAGAAACCCTATAAAAGCCACCTTGAACAAAGGAAGGGTGTGTATATGCTGTACATGTGTATATACATATACATATACAACCTGAGCCCATGTGCTGCTTGTGCCCACATGGCTGAGCATATGTTGCACCCAAACAAAAAAAAATGTTTTACTTTACTGCTCATCTATTCCTGAAATTCTTTTCTGCAAGGCAAGACAAGAACTCAATAAACCCTGGGTAAGGCCTAAGACTGACTTTCCTCTCCTACAAAGAGCAATTCCTGGCTCCAACCTGAGTCCATAGCTCCCCAAGAAATCAGGTGGTGGGATCAACTCCCATGCTCAGAAGACCAAGTGAATGTCTTGACGGCACTTCGTGGGGCTGGCAGGACACTGGCCATGCCACACAGAGACTCATAGCAGACTTTATCAGTCCTAGCCTTCCCAATAAACCTCGGGGTTATAGAGGCAGATCAGAAGAAAGTGACAGTCTCTCTCCTCTCTGCCTCACACAAGTCACTGTGGGGACTACCTATGTCAACCCCAGCTCATTGATTCTGCTGCAGACACATGCTTCTGCCCTGCTACCTCTGCACTGAGTCCCCCAGTCTGGACAATCTTGCCCAGACATCCTACAGGCCAGTTCCAGGTCCCAAAACTCTTACCTCAAAGGGAACCCACCTACTGAAGCTCGTCTGATCCAGTTAGCACTACTGTGTCCCCTCTCCTGACACCATACTCTGGAGCACTGTCCAGGGAGGAAGGAGAGAATTCCAACACGAACTTAGATCTAAGATAAGATATTATACTTTCCTCCAATTTCCTAATTCAGAATCTGCTGCCTTATAGACTGAGGAAAGTGGGAAAGGAGAAGGAGGAAAAGGAGGGGAAAGGAGGAGGAAGTGGGAAGTGGAGATGGAAGGAGGAAGAGGAGCAGGATGGGAGGAGGAAGAGGGGGAGGAGGAGGAGGAGGAAGAAGAAGAAGAAGAAGAAGAAGAAGAAGAAGAAGAAGAAGAAGAAGAAGAAGAAGAAGAAGAAGAAGAAGAAGAAGAAGAAACAAATGCAGAAGTAGAAGAAGCAGAAAAGTAGAAGAAGGAAAAAATAGAAACAGAAGCAGAAAAAAAGCAGAAGAAATAGAAGAAGCAGAAGCAGAAAAAGCAGAAGCAGCAGCAACAGCAGCAGGAGGAGAAGGGGGGAAGAGAAGGAGAGTAGGAGAAGAGTAAAATAGTAAAAGAAGAGTAGAAAAAGAAGAGTAGAAGAAACAAAAGTAGCAGCAGCAATAACAAAAGCAGCAGCAGAAGAGAAGGAGCATCAGCAGAAGCAGAAGCAGAGAAATGCCCCCTTTGCTGTAAAAACTGCAGATATGCAGAGAATGAAATGCAGATTCATATACAAAAACAGAAATAAGCATGATCCCCCATAGAAACAAAGAAAAAAATACCTGTTCTGGCTGATGGCTCAAGGGCTGGTGAGTATTCTTTTGCATGAAAGAGTCAAGACACCAAGATCTCTAATGCCTCATAGTTCTCCAACACTGCTGGAAGTGGCCTCCCAAAATAGTTGGACCCCAAACGATGGGGCTGTGGACAACAGAAAGCACACAGTTTCTGCTAGCCGTGTGAAGCCCTCACTGCCTGATGTAGGAGACAGGCAGGGTCCAGGTGATGACTGAGTTTCTGTGGTCCAGGTCTTGTTGGAACAAGGCTCTAGTGAAGGATCAAGGACCAAGAGCTTTCTACTGAGAGGTGACCGGCAGAGGAGTGACCACATCAAGGTTCACAATACGAAGATGAGGTGATAGTGCACAGGTAGGACAATTGCCTTGCAAGTGCAGACTCTGTTTTGATCCCAGGTACCACATGTGACTCCCCCGCCCTCCAGCACTTTCCCTGAGCACAGAGCCAAGAGTAGCCCCTAAGTTAAGAAGTAAACTCTGAGACTGGTATGGTCCTCCCCCAAAAAAAATCCAAAGCCCCCACTGCACTGATCACTGAGTAGGCACAGGGCCACCCATGCTCAGACCTAGAACAGACACAGCTCGCAAAGTGGCAGATTCTGGAAGGCCCTTGATGCTTCCATTTATTTTCTCTCTCAATTTCTATTGATCCTCTCCTTTAGTAACCTATTAACTACACAACCCAAGAATTAGGAAAAACATTCAGGTCTGCAGCCACTGCCTAAAAAAGAAAGAACTTATGTATTCTTTTTTTTTCCCTCCTTTTGGATCACACCAGCCATGCACAGAAGTTACTCCTGGCTCTGCACTCAGGAATTACTCCTGGCAGGGCTCGGGGAACCGTATGGGATTATGGGAATGGAACCCGGGTCAGCTGCGTGCAAGGCAAACGCCCTAACTGCTGTGCTATCGCTCCATCCCTGCAATAAGAACTTATGAAAGAAACAAATAAGAGGCCCGATTCTTTCATTTCTTGTGATCCCAACTGGCCCAGATCTCACTCAAAAATGCAGCATGATTTTCTTCCCACAAATATCAACCTCAGAACGCTGAGGTGGGCAAGACTCACAACCATTAGCCTTGGATCCACTGATAATTCATTCCGACTAGCAGGAGAGACAGTGCAGGGTTAAGGCACTTACTTTGCATGAGCACCACCAGGTATGACACAACATGTACTCCTGTCCAATTGATTCCTACTCTGCTGCTTCCTGAAATTCAGCTCCTTTCTAGAGGAAATTGATTTCAAACAAACTGTGAGGCAATTGGAGACACATCAGACAACCCACCCTGCAGATAAGAAATTTGTTTAAGGCAGTAAATTTCACACGAGGCTCTGCATTAGACACATAAATATATAATATACCCAAAGAAATATGACTGTCTTTTAATTTTTAATTTTATTTAGTTTATTATTACATTGTTTCATTTATTTATTTGATGAGGGGATTGGGGCCACACCCAGTGATGCTCAGGGATAGTTACTCCAGGCTCTGCCTCAAGGATCACTCCTGATGGACTTGGAGGGCCATGTGGGGTCCTGGGGATTGAACCCAGGTCGGCTGCATGCAAGGCAAGCATCTGCCTACCATATTAACTCTCCAGCCCTGTTACTACTCATTTTAATATAATGTTTTAAATTTTTTTCTATAGAAAAATTTTTAGGGGCTGGAGCGATAGCACAGCGGGTAGGGCGTTCGCCTTACAAGCGGCCAACATGGCCGACCCGAGTTCGATTCCTCCTCCCCTCTCGGAGAGCCTGGCAAGCTACCGAGAGTATTCGATATGCCAGACACAGTAACAACAAAGTCTCCAATGGAGACATTACTGGGCCCGCTCGAGCAAATCGACGATCAACGGGAGGGTCTTTACCTTTACCTTTTTAGAAAAATTTCAACGGGTAATAGAAATGAGGATGATGATTATTTTTATGGAAAATAGAAAGTTAGAAAAGGATGTACAGTGCCAAGTTCTACCTCTGTGGGAACTGCCAAAGAACAAAGTAGATCAGGAAAGAGAACAGATCTTCGTGGAAGTGGTTGATCTTGTCTCCCACCTCCTCAAAGTATGTGATAGGAAATCACACAGTCAGATCTTTTAGTAGAAAGAGATTCAGTGGGTATTGAACCACATACTGGGGATGTGAGGAAATCCTGGGACCCTCAACCCCATGTAGATGGCTCTCTCAAACTGTGAAAGAAAACAATGATAAACTCAGTTGCATTGTGGAAATGACATCCTGAACATGCTTCTAACGTCCCTCTCAAAGAAACCCCCAAACCCGGTCCTGTCTACTCTCCCTTCCCCTTCACACTGCAGGCCTCCAGAATCTCACCTTTCGGCTGTATGAGAGACTCATCAGAGCCTTGGTCTTTGTTGCTGGGGAAAAACAAAACAGGACAAATTCAGAGCCCACGGGGTGGGAATAAAGGAGAAACCAGGGGTGGGGGATCTCACCGTGGGCTCTGGTCTACACTCTCCCAAAGGGCTTTGGGATACTGCGCCCCTCCCCAATACTTACTTGCAAACTGAGTCTTGTTCCTTTTTGCAATCTGTGGAAAGAAAATACCCTGTGAAAAGTCAGGGAGGAGGCATAACCCCCTCATCCTGGATCAGAGAAGTGTCCAGAGTGGGGTTGAGACCCATATCAGAATCAGGAAGCCTGAGAGTAGGACAGGTGTGGGCCTAGACCAGCACTCCCGGAGGTCAGTGCTCTTCAGGGACCCTCTGCCCTGTGACTGCTGATAAATTTGATCTTCATTCTTCCTATGTGTTTTAATACAGAGAAAGTAAGCAAGGACCTGAGATGGAGCTCAGTAGCAGAGCTTAGCATGTGTGAGGCTCTGGACTTGCTTGCTGGCACAGGAAAAAGTTTTTGAAAAATAAAAACAAAAAATGAGCAAATAAATAGGGTGTGGATGGTATTTCCCATTAATGAGCAGAATAGACTTCTCTCTGGGCCTTGAAAACCCTCAGCAGAAAAGAAAACTTAGACATTCCCCCAATTCCTTTCCTACCTGAGCGCTTCCTCCTGCAGATCACAGCTGCCACCACAGCTCCAGTGAACACAGTCCCGAGGAGAGCCAGGCCAACTATGATGCCCACAATGAGGAAGGTGGACTGAGAAGGGGGCTCTGGGAAGGAAGGAAAGAAGAAGGGGGTCTGACCTCCAACCTCAGCCTGACCCTCAACAGTTCCCCAGAGGGGCCAACCCTAATTCCCCAGAGAACAGGCTCTGTGCCCCGCAATCCCTCCTTACCCCATCTCAGGGTGACAGGCTCCGGCAGTCCCTGGTGCTGCACATGACACGTGTATCTCTGCTCCTCTCCAGAAGGCACCACCACAGCCGCCCACTTCTGGAAGGTTCCATCCCCTGAAGGCCTCGTCTCCACCAGCTCTGTGTCCTCGGTGAGGTCCTCCCCATCACGCTGCCAGGTCAGGGTGATCTTGGCAGGGTAGAAACCCCGGGCCCAGCACCTCATGGTGACCTCATGGTCAGAGAAGGGGTTGTGGGTTATGTGTCCACTGGGGGGTTCTGAGAAAAACAGTCAGAACATTCAGGTAATTTGCTTCTTGGGCCACTAAAATCACGCATGTAACTACCCTGAGAATGAAAAACACGAGGTGGGGAGTTATGAAAATCTCTTAGAACAGCCTGGACAGAGACTTCCAGGAAAAGCTCATTCTTTGGAAAGTTTTGAAATCAGGTTGAGATGGCCCAGGAAAAGAGGCGAGAGGAAGGGAGTTCTGGTCCTGGTTTGGGGGTGATAAATGGAATATAAAAGCTGAAGTCAAGACCTCAAACACATTGGGTGTGGGGCAGAGAAGTCTGAGAAAGTCCCTTTGCTTAAAGGCTCCAGAGTTAGAGAAGCGCTCATCAGTCACTCCCGGGAGTGCTTCACCTTCCATTCTCAGAGACCAGATCCCTTAACTGTCCAGAGAGAAGGGTGGCATTCTGAGCGGGTCACTCTCTGGTCCCCAATCTGAACACGAGGGCAATTCCTGGCTCTCCAAAGGAGAGGAATTATTCTGATGTGCATCCCATTCTCCTCTCTTAACAGAGGGAGAATCACTCCAGAGAGGGTAATCCGGGAGGCTCCCCGGGGCGCCCGGTACCAGCCCGCAGCAGTGGTACCTGCACATAGTAGTGGTACCTGTCCTCAGCAGCGTCTTCTTTCCTTCCTCTAGGTAGCGCCCGAGCCCTTCAACGCACTCCCCATCCAGGTAGAACCTGTTTTCTTCTGCCACCGAGCCCCTCTCCCACTTGCTCTGGGTGATCTGAGCCGGCATGCCCGCCGCGGTCCAGGAGCGCAGGTCCTCGTTCAAGGAGATGTAGTCGGCGCCGTCATAGGCGAACTGACTGTAGCCGCGCAGGAGGCGCCCGTCGGACCCCACGTCGCAGCCGCACAACCACTGGTAAGTGTGAGAGCCTGGAGCAAGGCCCGGAATCAGCCCCGCCCACCTATGCCCGCCCCGTGAGGGAGTCCGGGTTGTGATGGGTTAGAATGAGCCGATTACATTAAAGGAACAGAAACCGGATGCTCTAAGGAAGTTTCTCTGGTGAGGATGCAAATCCCGAATCTTAACTGCTCGGACACAGAGACCGCAGGGAACCCGGTCCGTCCAGGAGCTGGGGGTCGTTCCCAGGCCGAACCCGCGCGCTCACCTGCCTCGCTCTGGTTGTAGTAGCCGCGCAGGGTGTTGAGGCTGACATGGAAATTTTGGGCGGTGTCCTTGAAGATCCGCGTGCTCCGCTCCCAGTAGTCGGATCCCTCCTGCTTCATCCACGGCGCCCGCGGTTCGGCCCTCTGACTCGCCGAGTCGCTGTCGAAGCGCATGATCTCGGTGTCGTCCACGTAGCCGAGGACGACGAAGCGGGGCTCCTCGCTGCCGGGCCGGGACACGGCGGTGTAGACGTACCGCAGGGAGTGGAGGTCTGGGGGAGGGGGGGGATGAGACCCGGCGTCCAGGGGTTGAGGGACACACACACACACACACACACACACACACACACACACACCTTGCACATGCACATCTTGCACACGCACACACACACTCACACACACCCCTTGCTTTACACTCACTCGCCCAGGATTCGGTCAGGGCTCTTGAGAGAAGAAGGAGGAAGATCCTCGACACTCCTCGGGGTTCCGGGACCCACATCCTAGTGGCGGGGCGAGAAGAGGTACTGCTGGAGCTGTGGTCTGGGGTCGGAGGAGCCCGGGCTAGGGCGGGAAGAGACCCGGCTGGACCTGGTGCGGTTAGAGACAGGGCTGGGGCTAAAAGAGACAGGATCAGTGGGGAAAAGATAGACGGAAAGGGAAAAGAAAGGGCTGCGAAGGAAAAAGACGGCTGGAGAAGGGAAAAGACAGAGCCGGGAAGGGAAAAGACAGGGGTGGGAAAGGGAAAAGACAGAGCCGGGAAGGGAAAAGACAGACCTGCAGAAGGGAAACACAGGACTGGGGCTGGAAGAGAAAGGACGCGGCGTGGGGCTGCAGTGCTAGGCTGGGACAGATCATAGTCTGAGCTCTGACCTAGCGTAACTTCAAATTGATTGGCTTCTCCAGAAGCCAGTACGTACTGAGAATAGAAACTGAAACCACTTGAGGGGACTGGCGATAATACAGGAAGGAAACAACATTCAGGGTGGGGGGAAGCATTAAACTGAGACAGGAGGTGGTGCTGAAAGGTGTAAAGTGTTATGTATGAAACCCTATCTGTAACAGTGGTGTAAACCTCAGTATGAAGGTGGGAAAAGAGCCTTTCCTTGAAGCAGACTGGTGGGAGGGAGGCAAAAACGGGGGAAGGGGGAGGGCTATTAGTGACAAGAAGTGGACACTGGTGTTGTAACTGTGTTGAAGGATCAGTGCTGTAAAATTGTATGCCTGAAACTTCACATGAATAACTTTGTAATTTCACAATGACTATAAATTTCACAATGACTATAAATGACTGGATTCCACGGGATGTCAAAAGACCGCGTGGCCGCCCACCTACCAGATGGTCAGACTTCTTCATCAAGATCATGAACGATTGGTTTGAGGCCCTTCATGTTCCCGGAGCGAAGAGATGCCATTGGGCTACACTAGCACGCCACAGGGACAAATGGAGACGTTACTGGCGCCCGCTCAAGCAAATCGAAGACTAACGGGAAGTGATTAAGTGATTAAGATAAAAAAAATAAATAATTTGTATTGAAGTGCACTCTTTCACTGGGTGTTCTGAGACCAAAGTTCTCTTCCTGCTGAGACTATGGCAAATTTTCAATAATTATACTGTCTGAGGGTCAAAGCAGGCAGGACGTCTTCTTTGCAACTGCAAGCAGGACTAAACTTGGGAAAATCTGAAATAATCTTGGGAAGAGAGATAGGTGAAAGGGTGCATGTCTTACATGTGGAAGGTCCAGGTTCAAGCCCTGGCATTGCAAGATTCGCCAGCACCTTCAGGACGACCCATAGAGCTTAGAGTAACAGAGCTGGGAGTAATCTCTGAGAATCACCAGGCTTGGCTTCCCCAGAACTAGAGAGATAAAGCTAAAAATGTGTGGATTCTTTGCATGTGCAGTCCCTGGCACTGCACAGTCCCCTACCACTGCCAGGAGTTACTCTCAAGTACAGAGTCTGGAATAGCTCCTGATTACAACCCAGAGTGCCCCAAAAACATACAAAAGAAAAATTCTGGAACAGTGACAGAAGAGCAGGTAGGGTATATGCCTTGCACACAGTCAACCTGGGCTCAATCCCCAGCATCCAACATGGTCTACTGAGTATTTACTGAACTCAGAGCAAGGGTTATCCCTGAGCATCACTGGGTGTGGCCCAAAATGAAACAACAAATCACAAACTTTTCTCCAGAATTCCCAGGCGCTAGTACATCTCTGGGATCAGCCTCCTGAATAACACGGAAGCCTTCAGGTCCCTAATGATGATTCCAACACTACAGTATCTGCAAAAACCTCCACAACACATGCCCCTGGATCATGGTACTTCTGCTCTGGCAGGATGTGAAAATTTCACATGTTTTCCTTTCACCTTGAGCACAGTGAGACCCTTCCTCCAAAGACAGAGAACCAATATGGGGTGATTTGCTGTCAGGATTAGCAACGACAATTACACAGCAGAGAGTGGGGGATTGGGATAGATCTATGGAACCGGGATCCCATTATGAGTATCTCTTATTTGAAATTTGTTACTGTGAGTGTACAGGTATTGAAATCAACTCAAACCCCACATGCAGTACTATTCCAGTGCTGCCTCTTTCCCTCTCCCTGCACTGTTGCTGAGGGGACAGTGACTGTGGGATTCCTCACAGAAAGGTGGAAAGACTATCCCAAGTACACGTGTGCCATGGGGAACCAGGTCCTTCCTCCCGAGGAGGGAAACCTCTTCAGAGATCTGAATCTGGCTCAGATAGAGGATGAAAATGGACTTCTGACTTTATTAATTCACAAACTCTTAGCCTCTTGCTGATTCTTGATTGTTTAGTATAGATGTTAAGAACCCTGCATGACAAAGGGGAACCGCACTGTTCATTTGCACACTCCCTTTCTCGGATGCTCCTTTGGGATGTGCTCAGCGTGTGCTTCTGACTTTGCACTCTTGCCCACCACCATTTGATCTCTGCCCTTAGGGAAAAATTTCCCCATGGATATTAGTGACATATATCTGAGTCCATATTTCCTACCACCTCCCTTCTGAAAGCAATGCAGAGCCCTTCTCAGAGGTGCAATTCGCTCTCCCAGCACAGTGCTGACTGCTGTGGTGGCTGCCCTCTGGGTCCTGCTGTGAGCATAACACTCTGTGGGTCTCAGGCACACCTTGTCTCTCCATACCTTCAGCTCCTTCCACCCACTTGCTGCCACGTATAGGTGAATGAGTTCTGTCTATTGTTATTAATACCTGAACATTGTTTTTGCTGGCCTGGTAGAGTTGCCAAGGATTGAGGATGTGGCAGCCAAACTCTGGCCTGCTTGATAAGCCCATGTCCTGAGAATGTGTCCTGAAACCACTGAATTGTTCCTCAGCCATGCTGGTGCCTTGGTCAAGTGCCCTCATATTTCAAGCTTAGATGTGTTCCTCCTAGACGTATATCCAGGCTGCTTCTTCCAGCCCCCTGAGGGAATACCAACTGCTCTCTGCTTTTATTTTAAAATATCTGCTTCACCAAAAAGGAGAAAGAGAACAAAAGGGAATGTCCTGCCACAGAGGCAGGGTGGAATGGGGGAGATGGGGGTGGGAGGGATACTGGGATCAGTGGTGGTGGAAAATGGGCACTGGTGGAGGGATGGGTACTCGATCAGTGTATAATTGAAACCCAAGCACAAAAATTTGTAAGTCTACAACTCTACCTCATAGTGTTTCACTAGTAAAAATTAAATAAATAAATAAATAAAATAAAATATCCGCTTCAAATGTCAGCAATGTACTGAGTGTATTAAAGCCAGTAACCTGAGGAGCGACTGAGTGAGATGGGGGCTGGTGAGAGTGGACTTAGGTCATGAGGACCATCAAGTTCATGATAGGAAATACTGACAATTTGTTTTGTAGTCACACCAAAGTTTGCTTAGGGATACTCCCAGCAATTCTCAGGGTCAACTCTGGGGCTCCTGGTTTCAAAACATGCTCTCCAGTTCTTTGAGCCCTCTCCCCAGTCCAAAATTATTGACTGTTTTTTGCTAAAGTGTTTCTAGATATAAAAAAAATAAAGGGGAGAGAATAATACTACAATGGAAAAATGCTTCCAGGTAGTTTATTTCACAGGCATACCCTAGGCAATCATAAGGGTCAAAGTACCAATGTGTACTTGCTCTTCTCATTCAACAGTCCCTCCCAGCAGGTGCCACCTGCAAGACTCCCACTGAGAATGAGAAAGCTCCCACATCCAGCACAGGCAGGATGGCAGGTTGTGTGGAAGTCAAAGAGCAGGCAGACAAACAGATATTCTCTGCACACTGTACCCACAGTGACCTAGGAGCCATTCTCTTAATGATGCTGTGGCTACAGAGACCAATGACCTTCACCTCTCTCCATTCCTTAATTCTTTCTGGTTTTTATATCCCAAGATGGAACTAAGAAAGGAATCATTTCCCCTGTCATTAAAGGATGCTCAAAAGGAGCAACTTTCAGTGACAGGTAGAGATAGGATAGAGGAAAGCTGAGAATCTCCTGGGACCTCATCAATTCAGTGATCTGAATTGGGCTGAGGATGCAACTGCTCATGGCACTCAGCTGTTGTTCTTCTCTCCAGGACAAAAAGTATGAAACAGTATATTTGAGCCTGGCCACTGACCTCCCAAAGCTGGTGCTGTGCTGGGAAGAGAAAAAAGTCTCCTTAGGGGCCTGGAGAAACAGTACAGTAGGTAGAGCACTTGCCTTGTACATTGGGTCTAATTATTGCCATATCACATGTCCCCTAAGCACCAATAAGAGTGATCCCTGAACTCAGAGCAAGGGCCCTGAGCTCTGTCAGATACAGTTACCCAAACCAAATAATTTTTTTCAATGAGTGGGATAAAATTTCTCTGGGACCAGGGGACTAGGAAGCAGGAGGCCAGGGAGAGATCTTCAAGGGGTGACCACACATGCCTTGCACGGACAAAACCTTGACTGCAATCCTGGCCCCGTACCTCCTGTCCCCCTCCACCATCACTGCCAGTTTGAGTATCACAGGGAGTAAGCCCCAGCAGCACTGCAGACCTCCCCACAAAAAATCTGTGAGGTAGGGATACATGGGTGGGGGCCTGTGGGTGGAACCTTAGGTCACTGACTTCTACCTGAACCCATGGGCATAGCTCCACATTTTAATGTGATTCTGGCAGCCAGGCACTGCCTTTTGCCGTCTCCAGTTCCTCTACAAAGGGGAGAGTGTCACTTTTGTAACTCCCAAAGCCTAGTTCCAGGGCTTGTTACTCAGAGGCTTACTTTTGGGGAGACAAGAGTTTATCTGAGGAAAAAATATATATATATATATGAGTTTTGGGGAGCTAGCAACCTGAGAAGATGGTGAACTTACATCCCCCCAAATCCAACCTTCTCTCAGGCTGAGGAAGAGGGTTAATAGGGTTGACTGGGAAGATAGGTTAAAAGAAATGTCAAAGCGGGAAGGAGTTCTGTCAAGGCAGGAGGGAGTTCTATCTCAAGGCCATTTGGGCAGGGTGGGAGCAGACCAAGCTACTCCTAATGACATGTCAGGGTCTTTTCCAAGATCTGCACAATTGACTTGAAGAATCCTTCCAGAGGGTTTGTTGTTATGCTTCAAGGGAAAAGAGAGTTATCATGTTCTAGGAAGAACATGATAAGCCGCAGTGTTTTCAAAGGGCCTGTAATTTTCTATGTCTACCTTTAATCCATAATTGGATCTGGCTCAGCATAAAGCACACAAAGCATCAAGCAATTCTTTAAGACTGAGGTACAAGGGCCAGAGTACAGCTGGTAGGGCTTTTACCTTTCACGCAGCCAACCCATTTTGATCCCTGGCATTGCATATGGTCCCCCAAGCACTACC